GGGCGGCGCTGCTGCGGCGTATGGGGCGGCTGCTGCACCTCCTGGAGCAGTGCCTGGCGGTGGTGCTGCTGCACTTCCTGCAGGTGGGCCGGGGGGGGCGCCAGGGTGGGGGTTGATCCTCCCTGTGAACCTGGGGGAACATGAGGGGGCTAGCCTGCCCGCGTTGCTTACGATGAGGGGCACCATGGGTCCAGGGGAGGGAAGCGCGGGCGCCAGCAGGCATGCGTGATTGCTTCACCTCGCCTATACCATGGCACCAAGGTTCCCAGGCGCTTGGTCGGCTGCTCCCGTTGAGCGCAGCACGCCGCCCAACTCACCCACCCAAACCAATCACCACCCACCTCCCCTCTGCCCTCCCTCCCCCCGCCCTGCAGTGCCTCCCACGCCCGGACCGCGCCCTCGCAGCCGCAGCAGCCGCCGACGGCGGCGGCGGCGCCGACGTGATGGCGGTCGACCTCGACGGCCCCTCGGCTTCCGGCCTCCCGGGCGCGGATCTGTCCGCCCTGCTTCCAGATCCCAAGCCGGTGGACGCGGAGCGCCTCGGATCTGATCTCGATCTGCAGTACCTCGGAGGGAAGCTGCGGGACGTCTGCATAGCAGTGGACGAGCTCGGGCCGCAGGTGCGCGCGGTGTTGGCCGGCGGCGGCGGCGCGGACGGCGGCGGCGGGGCGGGGGTTGCGCTGCTGGGCGGCGGCGGCGGCGGCAGCGGCGGCGGGTCGGAGTTTGCGGCGGCGGTGGATTCGCTGGATTTGCTGAACCGCCAGATCAAGGCGTACCTGGCGACGCTGTGATGACCTGGCTGCGCCATGATCTGGCGGCCGCCGCGCTGCGCTGTGTGTACATGCTGTGTCGCCGCTCTGCGCGGACACTGGGGTGCATTGGTTCTCAACAAATGATTGGTCCAGCGTCGCTGTCATATAGCATGATTATTTGAGTAACCTCGTGCAGTTCTTCCCCAGCCTCTGTGACGGTACTGCTCTGGCACAGTCAGCACCATGCCAGCCAGGCCAGCCGGGCCAGCAGGAAGCAAAGCTCACGTGCGGGCCGCAGATGGCTGCATTTGTCTGCCACGTGATGGGCTCACGGAGAGCTCTTTGCATTACATGACAAGAGTCAATAAGGTGCAAGCTGTGCAATTGTTGGAGGGCTTGCCGTTGAGGTGTGGATCATTGTGTCTCCGTGCCATAGTCGTTGCGGCTCTTTGACAATAATGTGCTGTCTGATTGTCCGCTCTGCACAAATCATTTCCAGCAACCAGCACAGTCAAGGGATTAAGTATGCTCACCACATACGCACACAACGTAAGGAGCAGAACAAATGTCTACAGCCTAAAGATCACTCCACATCCCGCACCGTCGCTGTCACTCGCACGCACCCATCCTCCCCGACCAGCCCCGCCGCCCGCCACCCCACCTCGTCCCACGCCGCCTGCCCCCCCATCTCAAACACGTCCTCAAACCCGCGCCCCTCGCAGCCGAGCAGCAGCTGCATGCGGCAGCTGCCCCGCAGCTTCCGGCGCGTCGAGCGCGCGCCGAGCGTGACGGTTGCCGTCACCACCGCCGCGGCCGGCGGCGGATCCGGCTGCAGCGGCGGCGGCGACGGCGTCACATACAAGCCAAACGCGACACAGCCGTCCTCGTCAGCGGCCGCCATAACCTCCAGGGCCCAGCTCATCCCTTTGAAGGCCCATGCCATCGGGGCCGCCGCCTCCACGGTGCCCCCTGGGCCCTCGCCGGACGCCGCTTTGTGGAGGCGCTTCAACGTGGACAAAGGGATGTCCCATTCCATCTTAAGCTTACGCACTCGCGACGCCCTCCGCACCGGCAGCTGCCACGCCGCGTGCCTTGGCGCCGGCGCTCGCACCACGCTGCACGCGATCTCCTCGACGCGCGGCGCCGCAAGGCGCAGCGCGATCGACTGGTGCAGCTCGGCCGCGCTGACGTGGCGCGTGAACCAAGGGCATTGGGCGACGACGCCCGACAGGTACCACAGTGGCAGGTGCTGCACGCGCACGCAGGCGGCCAGCACGGCCTGCTGCGCCTTGGTGCCGGCGCCGCGGCGGGCGCTGAGCCAGGAGGCTGCGGTGAAGAACACTGTCGCCTCACATGCCGCGCGGGTGCGGCCGTCACTCAGGAGCATCCTGGGGGCAGTGTGGTGCAGGCCACGCGGTTTTGCGTGCCCACAATCATGGATGCCGTCAAGTATGTCGTGCGCGTTGAGAGCACTGCCTGTTGACTTGCACAGACGGATTCGATGCACGATGGTTCATGGTCAAGCGGCAAGCGCGTCGAAGCAAACACAGGCAGCAGCTGCCTGCGCCTGGGGACCCTGAGCCTGCAGTGCGGCCACAACTCAGCATCCGCGACGCCCACCACCCAGCGCACCTGACTGCCTCAAACGGGAGCGCCAGCAGCCGCCCCCGCAGCTTCCCGTCCAGCCACGCCAGATCCAGATCTCCGAGCTCCCGCAGCAGCTGCTCTTGCGCCGCCTCACGCAGGGGCCGCGCAGCCGCGGCGGTCGCAGCGGCACACTCATCACATGCATCTGCATCTGTCGGCGCATCTGTCGGGGCGGGCAGCTCAAAGGCCGCGAGGACCGCCTCCCAGGGCAGCCGGCCGGTGCTGGAGGCGGCTGCATTGAGCAGCAGCGTGTCGCCGGCGGCCTTGACGCAGCCCGGGGCCTGCAGGCGGGCGGCGAGCCTCAGCACCTGGGGTGACGGCGACAATGGGATTGGGTTGGGTGCGTGTGCGTGAAGGGTGGGGGGAAATGCCACTGGGGAAGTGCTGGTTGCAACAGCACAACGTTCGACCCCTCAGCCGTGTGAGGGGTCGCCCTGAGGAGGTGGGCTGCAACAGGGGGTGGAAGGTTACGCGCCGACGCGCCGGGTGCCGAGGCATTGACTAGAAGCGGCTGAGAGCCGCAAGCCTGTGGTGCTGGGCGCTTTTGCCGAATCCAAAAGCACCTGCAGCAGCGTGGCCGTATCCGCCCCCTCCAAAGGGACCGTGGGGCCATGAGCAGAGTGTATGCAGCGCAGCAGCAGCTGCACGGCAGCTGCTTGCCCCTCGTCGTCAACCTCTAAGTAAAGCTGTGGTAGGAGTGGTGATGGGAGTGGGGGGGTGGGGGTGGTGATGCGAGTAGACGTGGGAGTGGGAGTGGGAGCGGCAATGGGGGTGGAAACTCAAGCTGGAGTAGTAATGCTGATATTGGCGTGGTGTGTGCGCGTGCGATAAGTCCACTGCCAACACAGCCAAGGCCAGCAAGCCAGGTTAGCAAGCGGATCGGGCTTGCAACACCACCGTGTCCTCAACCCTACCTGCCCGGGGGTGCTACTGAGCCTGCTGTGAGCCCAGCCGCTCGCACTCTTCAACAAAAGCGCATGGCCCTGCATCTCATCCACGACGATCCTCCCGCCCTTGACCTCTGCGCCCGCCTCGGCCCCGCCATCCAAAGTCTGGTCTGCTGCTTCTTCCAAGAGCATCCGCCGCTCAGCTAAGCCGCCCTGCAGGCGCGATGGCGCCGTCTTGCGCTTCTTTTTCTTGGCGTCGCCGCTGAGGCTTGCCAGGTCGCCGCTGTTGCTGCTGCTGTTGCTGCTGCTGCTCCCTCCACCGCCGCTTCGGTTGCCGCTGCATCTGGCACGCGTGCCGCCAGCCAGGCTTTTGCTGCGGCCGCTGCGCTTGCTGCCATTGACCACGACCCATAAAACAACATCCGCCCTGGACTCATCCGAGTGCCAGCCTTCGCCGACTTCGGGCCCCGCCGCTGGCATGGCCACGCAGCTATCTGGGGCTGAGTGAAAAGGCATGAAGCGCCTGGGTTGGCGGGCCCGCATGAGGGCAGACAGCGGGCACTGCAACCAAGAATTGAGGTCAGGCAGGAACAAGGATTGCACACCATTGTGTTGCACGCAGCAGCACCGCGCACAGCATGCATCCATGCGAGAGTTCTTGGTCAATCTCATGCATTTCCGCACCGTTGCTGGCGATGAGGCGCTCCTTGAATGCCTGCCAGTCCCAGTCATCAGGCGTGGACAGCCCGTCGACAGCGGCACATGCGTTGCGCCGTTGCCACACCACGCGCGGCTGGCTGCGGCGTGGCACAAGATGATGAACGCGACTCCTCAAACTGTCGGCATTCCTTGAACGTGCCATGTCGAACGCGCTCATGCTGCACGATCTCGGAATGTAGCACCCAGACGCGGCCCGTCTGTCGTTTCATAGGCCGCTCATCGAAGAGTAAAGCTGTTGATATTGCCTTAACCCTCTCAACGCAATGCCGAGCCTTGCATGTATGCACATTGCAGCTGTGGGCGCTTGCAGTAACTCGTAGTAACGACCGACACTGGGCGATTGCAGGCGCTCTTGGATGCAGGATCGACAGGGCAGTAGCCCTTGCACTCGATTTGCTGATGTCGACATGCAATTCAAGTGCTGCAATAATTGAGGCGGAGCATGATCCAGGCCCTCATGCAAGCCCTTGCTCGAGCATACATGTGCAGCGCCAACCGCTCCCACTCCTTACAGCCCACTGCAACTGAGGAGATACAACACTTTTTCCACATACGGTACCGCTTTGCTGTTTTTTGATGTCCTCCATTGCATCTGTCGATGCCATTTTGGCAGGCAGCAGGATGTTCCCCTCAGGATCTTCCCCCCTTGACCCCCTTGTGGCTTAAGCCCGATCACCCAGCCATGTGCATTGCAGGGGTGTCGTTACCAGTCGTTCTTTTTGGGGATGCAAATAGTGCACAGAATAGACGGGCTTGACGCCGGTTGCTTTGTGCAACGCGAACAGCCCCTGCGGGCCTACTGTACAAGCCATCTCTGTGCAACCCAGGGTCAGGAAAATGCTCGGCATGCTCTCTCAACCTAGCAGCAGTCTCAGGGGTAATTTGTGCCGTTCCCCTTCGCTGCCAACCGCAAAGTAGACAATTTTGTCAAATATATTCACCTCAACGTCCACAATTGTGCCCGCGGGGGCGCCCATGTAGGGCCGCCCCAGCGCCGCATTGAACCGCACGAGCTGCTTGGCGCCGCCTGTGACGTCCACTCCGACCAGCAGCGCACCCTCCCCCCCGCCGATCACACACGGCACCCTGACCACGCTGTCAATCCAGGCCGCCTTTTTCTGCTGCGCGTCGGCCGCCGCCATCACCCGGTCGGTGAACAATGCCGACTCGAGCAGCAGGCGGTTGCTCAGGGGTCCGTTTGAGTCAACGGCGGCGCCGTGGATGAACGCGTGCAGCTGGTCCTGCAGATCTGTCAGCCGCAGCTTGTAGGCCAGGTGCAGCAGCGGCTCCAGCTGAGCCGCGACCTGGGTGCTCAGGCTGGCGGCCTGCTCTTGAGTGATGGACGCAGCTACAATGCTGGCCGTGTCGGGGCGGCCAGCGCCGCTCGAAGCTGGCAACATAGTAAGTCGAACGCCCATCGAGCGGCAGCGCCACAGCCTTCTCGCCGGCCTTCACCCTCGGGGACTTGAGCGGGCAGCGCTCGCAGCACGCGAGCAGCGCAGGCCTCGACGTCCCAACGGCGTCAGCGAAATTGAGGAGGTCGGCCAGCTGTGGCGGCTCGGCAGGCTCGTCGCACAAGCCCTCGGCCGGCGGATATACGGCCGTCAGCCATGCCGCCACCATGGGCCGCTCTGCGGCGGCGCGACCGTCCACCACCAGGCCCGAGACGTCCCAGGTGTCGCCGGGCGGCAGCTGCTTGGCAATGGAGGAGGACCATGAGACGATGGCGCGGTGGGCCGGCAGGCGCTCCCCGCTGGCGAGCTTGATCCACAGGTCCGGGTTGTCCGTGGCGATCGCCTCAAGCAGCGTTCGCTTGGCCATTGCGGGCGCTGAACGACGTTGAAGGGCGAGGTGCAGTGCAAGGGAGCGGCGTTCGGTTGCAGGTGCTTGGGCCATGCTGCGGCCACGGCGCTGGCAGCGGAGGGGCTGCACTGCAACGAATAAGAGCATGATGGCGAGAGCGGTCACATCTGTCGAAACACTTGCGGCCCCACCACGCAGGCACCGAATTTGCGCACGGGCTGCGCAGATCAGTATTTCCGTAGGATTTTCCGACACTGTACACCGCACGCCTGCACGTGACTGCTGCTTGCATACGTGAACAATACGGTACGGTACGCCGCCAACAAATGACTCACTCGCTTTCACGACAAAATTCCTGTCTGGGCGTGTGCATGGAAGAGCCACAGGGATAAAAGTATAAATGGCCAGAGGATACGTTTGGCTTGCAAACTGGACATGTATGTATATGGCCCGTTGCACATGGCCCCTGTCAGGCTGAATCAAGGTCTGTCATACACCTTCTGGCCACAGTAACTGGAGATTGGCTTTGCCGCTGCCACAGGTTTCATAGGCTGCTTGTCAAAGTGAAAAGCTGCTGTTGATGCCCCTAACATCAAGACATTTACAAGCATTGCATGTATGTACATTTGTACAGCCAGCGCCAAAACCCCCTCAAGATGCCCCCCCCAAAAAAACATGCGGAGGTTTCACATCGATAATTTTGCATGGACGCGCCGTGTGGCGCTGGGTGCCGCAGTGCACTGCGTTTTGGGGGCACTGCTGCCTTGGCGTGTGTATTTCTCTGTGTGTGCGTAGGTGTGTGTGTGTGTGTGTGTGTGTGTGTGTGTGTGTGTGTGTGTGTGTGTGTGTGTGTGTGTGTGTGTGTGTGTGGCATTAGATTGCGTTTCTGCGTTGCCACAGCACCACCACACTACTAGTGCCAATCATGCCACTCATCCTCCCGATCCCTCCCTGCTGGAATCGAGGGCCCAGCTGGCCGGCAGCAGGCCCGCTCACCAGACGACCCTCGCTCCTTGACACAAGCCGGCTGTGATTGGTGAGGCTGCATTACTCCTTTACATGTGCGTGATACGACGACTCTCGTAGAGTACATTTCTATATACATTTGAGCAAATGTGTGCTGCAGTTAGTATAAAATTATGCTAAAATGACACCCTCATCGGCAATCACCAGGGCTCAAAGTAAAGCTACAGCTGCCTACCCCACAACTCAGCAGTGGCGGCGGTGCCGCATCAGCATCGCGGCGCCATGCGGATGGCGCACATGGCCATGCCCGGCATGCTGCTGCGCAGGTTGCCCTTCACCGGCAGCCTGGGCACCCTGCTGTTGCCAAGGCTCCGCGACCTCCCGCTAGGCACGAGAATAGAGAAGCCATGCTGTTTGCACGCTTCCACCGGGGGCTTGACTTTGCTGGTAGGCACGGTCCCCGCTGCCAGGACCCCCTGCAGCGCTTGCCCTTCAGCTGCACAGCCGGCCCGACGAGCTCCTTTTCTCTGCAAAGCGCGCGCATGGCAACACGCATTGAGCCGGTAATCAGGTTCCAGGTTGGTGTGGAAACAATCCAATTTTGCTACCACCAGATGCCCCTAATTACAGCCAAAAGCTGGGCACCACCGAGCCAAGACAACCCACGAATGTTTGCACCCTGCCAGGCTGACCGCAGCATGCGCACACGACAGCATGCTGCGTATAGCGCATGTTCCACGTGACCGTTGCAGTCCCATAGCGGCAGACAGCTCACCGTATAAAGCGCAGGCAGGACTCCAGCTGAGGGACCGCCTCCTCAGTGAGCTGCTGCTTTGCCTCCACGATGGCAGCGCACTCATCAGCGATCACCACGCCGTCCACCTCCCGCTGTTGACCGTCGGCGCTGCTGATGACCCTGATCTCCGCCGCAACCGCCTCGGGGTGTTGCCGTCGCATGAGTTCCACCACCTTCTTGGTTGCGGACTCCTCCAGGCTCCTCCCAGGCGAGAGGACAAAGCCCTCCACCGTGGACATCTGCAGGAAGAACCAAACACAGGGTCTCCTTGGTTCATCACCACAGCTTGTGGTTGCATCGCATGCATCAACGTCAGCCTTGGTTCTGGTAGCTGCATATGCACACTATTGCCCTGTTGCCAAGCCAAGCATGTTAGGCTCGTCCCTTGACCACCCCAGGCGTTTAACGCGGGGGGAGGGCAAAGGGACGCACCCGCTGCTCCCATGGCGGCAGGCCTTGCAGAGCCGTCATAACTAAGTTGTCGTGCAGCTCGACGCCCACAATGGAGGTCAGCTCCCCGTCGACGGGGTCCAGCACCAGGTCGCAGCCGTGCCGGTCGAGGACGCGCTCGAGCTGACCGCGATTGACGCGTTTAAACGGCATGACGGTCTCGTCCTCCTTGCCAATGATGGTCAGTATCACGTTGCTGTAAATCTCCGTGCCCCTGCCCCCTGCGCAACAGCAGCGGGTGGGTATGCCAGACCAGTGCGGTTCAGGTGAGGACGATGTTGCGGGGGCACAGCAAGCCGCCAGGGGGTGGGGGCGAGAGAGCGAGAGAACGCACTGATAAGATGCATGAAACACACTGCTTTGTGAGCTGAGCAGTGGTAGCTGGCATGTTGCACATGGCATGTTGCACATGCGGGTACTGGTACTCAACGAGAGCCTAGAGTAGCCACTGCTGATCTAGGGTCTGCAGAACCACAACAAACCCCTGTGCAGCACCTCACCTGCTGCTGTGGATCATTCGCAGGGACCCAGGCGGAAGCCGTGAAGGGCAGATGCGATGAGAGTGCAGGGCGCGAGGACAGCCAAGGGGTGATGGAGCAAAGCATGTGTGCAAAGACCGAGATGGGATGGGCAGCGATGCAGATCATGATCATCATTGTTATTATCATGCGCCAGCAGCAGTGCGCGGGTGGTGTCCGGATGGATGATAGGGATATATGGATGAGGGATTGAGCACAAAACACCCGTGCTTGCAGCGTTATTGCCCACAATGCAGGGTGGCAGCATTGTCTGTGCTTGCATGGGAAAGAGGTACTGTAGAGGATAGCAGCAGCGTACGAGCAGAGCCGGCCGTCAAGGACATGTGAACACGCACCCTCTCGTCACCTCAGCGGCATTACTGGAACCACCTCCAACTGCCATTTAGCACCCTTACAGACTTGTGTACACATCAGACACACTGTGCACTTGCTGCACTGCGTCAGCGTATCACGAATGGCCCACCCACCCCGGACAGCTGCCTTGATGGCCGCCTTCTGATCGCCGACGGGCATGCCCAGCAGACCAGCAGACCAGTCCGCGGACATCTTGTCGATAGCCACTGCCGCATCGCCGCGAAAGTCGGTGTTCTCATCACCTGGAAACAGCTCAGGCAATGCCTGCAACAGCTGCTGCCGGAAAGTCGGCGCATCCATGGGTGCCAGGGCCTGCGCACGCTGCGTGTGTGGCAGGCACCACGCAATGCCTGAACGCTTTGTTGACATGGCGTTGTAAGCAGCATGGCGATGAAGCCGGCATTGGGCTAAGGGCAGCGCTGCACCTCTTAGCACGCACTTATTGCAGCCGTGGGGCAGCGGCTGGCGCTGGTGCCGTCGGTTGGGCGCCAGCTCTGCCAAGCATGTGCCCCAGCCAGCGCACACACCTCGCAGCAACCAGGCACCCCTGAGCCTCCTCTTGGAAAAGCTGCAGCGCAGCACACATACAGGGTTGGCCGAGAAGGCCAGGATGAGCTCCTCGAAGGGGGGGGGGGCACAGCTCTATGTTGCGTTGCTTGCTCTCAAGGCGCCAGTAGCACAGTGGCATCTACACCGAAAGGGCCCAAGCAGTGCACAGCTTGGCAAAGCCTGGAGGTGCCAATGGCCGCAGCCCTTGTCGCTCCAAGGGCTGCGGCCTGCCGACAAAGACACGTCAGGGCACTTGCCTGATCTTTCTCGCGACTCGAGCTCGAAACACGGAGAGCTGGCGAAGTGTAGGCTGCTGGAGCGTTGGACAAATACGTGTAAGCAATACACAATGGCATCTGGTTGTGTTGTGATACGGTATTGCTGGTGCTAGGCCCCGTGCTATGCAGCTGCTGTGCTGCAGCAACAGCAGCTGCACTGTTGCTGCAATACTGTGCTGGGGCCGTTTGTGTTTGCAGTGACTCGTGGTAACAACACTAATCGAATGTACACACTCTTGGATGCAGGATAGACAGGACGGCAGCAGCACTACTGTACATCATTGCTGATGTTGACGTGCAAAGTTTTCCGGAGGGGAACACAAGTGTCCCCCAGGGATCAGCTGGAGTGACGCCCGGGTGACACCCCTCTGGCACGCCGCCCATTTTGGGCGGCACGTTCGTTTCTTTCTTCTTCTGCTCAAGCATCGTTTGCAAGCACAATGCAGGCTCCCAGAGCGCAAGCCCTTCCCCTTACTGTGCAGCACCAACCGGTCCTGCTTCTTACAGCCCACTGTAACTGAGGATACAGAACACGCACTGTCTTCTGGCCAACGATATCTCTCACGGTATTGCATTTTATGATTTAGGCAGTTGAGGCGGTTGATTTGGGCAGCAGGTTCTCACCCTGAAGTACCCTCCTTTGGCCTATGCCCAACAAATCCAGTCGTGTGCGTTGCGTGCCGTGACAGCCGCTCTCCACAAGGACGCAAAGCATCACGATTGCATGAAATAGACAGACTTGATGCGTTTTGCTTGGTGCAACATAAACAGCCCCAGTGGGCCCACTGTACAAGCCGATTTGGCGAAACCCCAAGTCGGCTGATTGCTCAGCAACCTCGATCAACCTAGCAGCAGTTTTAAGGGAACTGGAAGCTCGTGTGCTCCGCCGTCACAGGTAAGGAACACCGCGCCCTTGAACACGCTCACCACACAATGCACAGCCGTGCCCGTTGGGGCGCCCATGTAGGGCCGCCCCAGCGCTGCTTTGAACCGCACGGGCTGCTTGGCGCCGTCGTCCACTCCGACCAGCAGGGCACCCTCCCCCCCGCCGATCACACACGGCACCCTCACCACGCTGTCAATCCAGGCCGCTTTTTTTTGCTGCGGATCGGCCGCCGCCATCACGCGGTCCGTGAACACCGCCGACTCCAGCAGTAGGCGATTGATCAGGGGTCCGTTTGAGTAAACGGCGGCGCCATGGATGAACGCGTGCAGCTGGTCCTGCAGGTCTGTCAGCCGCAGCTTGTAGGCCAGGTGCAGCAGCGACTCGAGCTGAGCCGCGACCTGGGTGCTCATGCTGGCGGCCTGCTCCTGCGTGATAGATGCAGCTACAACGCTGGCCGCGTCAGGGCGACATCCCCAGAGCTGCTCTGAGGCGGAACTGTAGTAACTCGCATGCCCGTCAAGCGGCAGCGCCACCGCCTTCTCGCCAGCCATCAACGTCAGGGATGTGAGCGGGCAGCGCTGGCAGCATGCGAGCAGCGCTGGCCTCGACGTCCCAACGGCGTCCGCAAAGGCAAGGAGGTCGGCCAGCTGTGGCGGCTCGCCAGGCTCGTCACACAAGCCCTCGGCCGGTGGATACACGGCCGCCAGCCACGCCGCCACCACGGGCCGCTCTGCGGCGGCGCGGCCGTCCAACACCAGGCCCGAGACGTCCCAGGTGTCGCCAGGCGGCAGCTGCTTGGCGACGGAGGAGGACCATGAGACGATGGCGCGGTGGACCGGCAGGCGCTCCCCGCTGGCGAGCTTGATCCACAGGTCCGGGTTGTCCGTGGCGATCGCCTCAAGCAACGGGCGCTTGGCCATTGCGGGCGCTGGACGGGCGAAGGGCGAGGTGCAGTGCAGTGCAGCGGCGTTTGCTGGCGGGTGCTTGCTTGGGCCGGACTGTGAGCGCGCTGGCTGCGGGCCGGCGTTTGCAATGCAGGAGCTGCGCCGAAACGGGTTAGAGCATGACTGTACGAGTGACCATTCTCGTCGAAACGCTGGCGGCCCACCTCGCTGTCGCTGTCACCAGACTTGCGCACGGACCGCGCAGATCAGGTCTTCCTTAGTTTCCCCGATACTGTGCTGAAATTGCACGCCTAAATGTGGTTGTTGGTTGTATAGATCGCCAACAAAAGGCTCACTTACATTTCTGCACGGCAAAATCCCTGTAAGGGCATGTGCAGTATGAGCCATGTGACAGGGAATGGATGGCCAACTCTGGCACAATTTGCAAGCTGAATGAATATGAGTATGGCCCCTCGCACATGACACCTGTCAGGCTCAAGGTCATCATGGCTAAGCACTGGCAGACTGGCCCAGTTTGCCGTTTTTTACTGACCCAGTTTGCCGCTGCCACATCACAGCCTCAGGCAGGCAGGGGAGACACAGCACGAGCAGAGCCTTGGGCAGGGTAGAGCCTTTGGCTCAAATCGGCGGTTCACACAGCTCTCGTGAAGGCAGCGGCCGACCCACAGCAGTCTGAAGGCATCCTGAATCGCCGGCTTTGTGGGGGCATGCGCCCGCACGGAATCTGCGGGGCAGGTATGCTGCTGGCCAGCCTGGATGACCACGCTACGCAAGCAGGCCGTGCGGGTTGGTGCGGCGCTGGGGCGGCCCATCTTGGGGGCAGCAGGGGGTGCGGCTGTGCAGTAGTTGTGAAGGTGGACTTGGCTGAGCACACCAGACCCGTGTGTATTGCGATCAAACTCCTAGTCTTGGTTTTCAGCACGCATGCCTGCTGTGTGGCAGCCGTGCTGTTCAGAGTTTGGGAGGCTGAGCACACAACTGTCGCGGGCACCAACCACATCAGTTATCGCAGACACGTGCACTCTACGCTCTTCCGTGGATGTATGCAGGCGTGGTGTTCATTAGAGTCCTTCAGGGCGTGCTGCGTAGCCACGCACAACTCCCACATCCCGCACGTTTCAACCATGACCCCAGTCTGCCCAATGTGTCACTGCCAACGTTTACACGTGCACCAGCTTGTAACATTTGAGCTTCTGTGCAAACGTGCAATCCCTTGTAGCAAATGAGTTTTGTGAGTTATGTGTTCCTTCTGTCGCAACATGCACCCAATCGTCGTTGTTTTGTGTACCGTATTGATCAACATCGGGCAAAATCGACATGGGCAGTCAGTACCCAGAAGACATCCGGCTTGCTGGCTGTCAAGGGCGGAGGATACTGAACAAATGTATTTATTGCTGTTTGATTCGGCCAGGGCAGCTGCAACAAACGCAACGACCTCCCATGCCCGATTTGTGCACCCTTCACTACTGCATGCAGCACTGCAGCAGCACAACCAAGCTCAGCCCCCGCGAACTCCCAGCACGCCAGGCAGTGCCTCATGTCAAGATGCAATTGAATGCGACAAATATGACGTTTTTGTAGTGGGGATGCACACACGAAGATCCGCTCATCACCGTTCGGCAGCTTCATGACAACCCGTCGCCCTGCAAACAACTGCACATACTCCCGCAGGCACCAGTCCCCGCCGTCATTCAACTTCCTCTCGGTTGATCCAGCCACATAGCGAACTACTACCGTCCTCGCCTGCCGCCCCGCGGCCTGGGCTGCAAGCCCGCAGGCAGAGCTACCGGGCTTTCTGGGCCCAAGCGTAGTCCTCAGAGCGCGACAGATCGTTTCAGATATTATATTTCTGATTTCAGGTGGCAGAACTCGAGCAGCGGCCGCACAGGTGCGGGGCACGGCGGATGGCGCAGCGCTGCAGCTGTGCGCAAGTGCAGCTCGGCTGAGGCCGCCACTGCCAGCTGCGTGGCGCAATTGTGCCTTGTCCAGACACACTATAGATCAAATCCAAGCCCCAAATCAGTTGTCTAAGGCTGCGGTCGTCCATATTTAGGCCGCCTTCCTGTCTCGTATTCGCATCCGCCGCCCTCCATCTGCGCCCTGAACGTCAGAGACGCAGCAGGCTCTTGGGCAGCCGTCCCCTTGCCCGCACGGCGCAAGAGCCCGTGCCAGGAAGGCAGGAGGCGGCCGGCCATGGCCTCCTCCAGGGGCGCCGCAAGGAAGCGGCAGAGCAGCCAGGCAGGGCCGGCGGCGGTGACGTCAGCAGGCTTTGTTGAGGAGCCCGAGGGCACGCAGGTCATCACAGCGACTGGCGCCGCCATCCCGCGCGCCAGCACTAGCGGCCAATCGCGTCGCGGCGACAGCTGTAGCGGCGCCGCCGCGCCGCGGCTCTGCAGCAGCACCGGCGGCGGTGGCGGCAGCGGCGGCTGCAGTGGCGGCGGCACCGGCTGCACCTGCGCAGGGCGGCCCAGCGGCGGCGGCTGCGGCGCACGGTGCGAGGACCCACCCACGGCCCTTCAATCGACAGCCTCTGCCAGCCCTGTAAACGCGGGACCGCAAGCGTTTGGGGTCGACGGTGGCGCCGGCTGCCGGGACGGCGGCGGGGGCTGCCTAATTGTGGAGGAGCGCAGCATTTACAGCTGGTGGTCTGAGCGCAAGCGACACTTCATCCTGGTGCTGATGAGCCTGGCTACATTCCTGGTGCCCTTCAGCGGTGAGGCGAGGTTTTGAGGGGCGGTCAGAACATAGAGTGGGCAGGGAAGGAGGTTTGAGGACACCGGAGGTGTGTGCGGTTGGGCTGCTGTGGGGGCTGGTGTGATGGAGAGGGCAGGGGTGCTGGCCCTGACGCAAAAGCCCCTTGTTGTCAAACTTGCCTCCTCAGAAACCGTGTACTTGCCAGCTCTCAGCAATATAGAGCGAGAGCTCAACACGACTGCAACCCTGGTGAGTTTGTTTGGTCGGAAGGCTGGCGAGGATTGCATCTGACTGCAGCCGGCCAGGCTGCGGGCTTTCTGCTGATGCGTGAATGCTGACATCAGCAGCTGCATGCTTGCATACTCGCCCATGATGGAGCTCACATGCAATCAGCTGATGCTGCACCTGTTCACGAACTTTTTCATCTGCAGATGGCAGCCACAGTGGGGGTCTACATGTTCACTGTCGGCGCGACGGCCCTTTTGTGGGGCCCCTTCTGCGACCGTTACGGCAGGTGCGCCCTCGGCCACGGCGGGGGCCGCCGCGCTCGCAGACTGGCTGTTCAGGGCCACTAAGGCCGGTCCAGCGGCAGAGTAGCGGCTGCGCCTCTGGCCAAGCGCCGTCGCATCATTCCTAGTCAGCCGATCATCGCCCTCTACTACCCAGTTGCGCAAATCCTGCCCGCGCCTCCACTCTGCAGGCGCAATACACTGCTGCTGTCGAGCTTCGCCTTCATTGGCTTCTCAGTCGGCTGCACGCTCTCGCCCAATATCCACAGTGAGGCGCAGGCCCCTTGCATGTGCACCCTAAGCTGCAGCAAGCTCTAGCCGAGCGCGTGTTCCGCCTGCATCCCTGCCCCAACTTCCGGCTTCTCTGCTCTTGAAATTGCTCATGCACCGGCCCGCGCACCCCACCCCCGCCCCAGTGCTCATCGCGTTCAGGGCGCTGCAGGGCGGCGCGGTGTCGGCGCTGATGGTGGCGGCAACGGCGGTGCTGTCGGACTCGTGGGAGCCGGCGCAGCGCGGGCGCGCCATGGGCATCTTCATGGTCCCAACGCGTGAGCAAGCAGAGGGTGGCAATTCGTGCCTTTGAGTTTTTTGGGAGGCACCAATAGTGCGACAGGCCAGGAGTGCACTCCGCAATGCTCAAAAGCGCATGTATTGCGGTTTGTTGCAACCCAAACCCCGTTTGAAACAGCGGTGGCAGGGCCGCGAGGCAGGTGGGCGATGCTTGCGGCGCTCGCGGATTGCCTCTCTCATACGCGCCCGTCCGCCGCTCGCCAACGCCTCTGTCGTGAGAGCAGTCGTTGGCCCCATCGTGGGGCCCCTGCTGGGCGGCGGGCTGGCGCAGAGCCTGGGCTGGCGCAGCACTTTTGTGGCGATGGCAGTCTGCGGCACGTTCGTGTTCGTGGCCCTTTTGGTGTTCATGGAGGAGGTGAGCATCGGTATGATGACGACGGGAAGAACCCAAAAGTAGTGGGATCAAGGAGGTTCCAGGGAAGAACGGGCATCATAAGAGGGGGCCATAAAGCTGTGCAAGGTTCATCGCGGGGCGGAATCTTTGCTGCCGCAGCTCGGACTTGCTTCACCGCCGTCCGCTTCACCGCCTTTCTCCTCCCGCCCCACAGACCCAGCACCACTTCATCCTCCAGGTACAGCGCAGCCCAATGAGTGGTTTCCCCTCACAGTCGCAGCAACCTTGGCTTGTTCGTGTGTTGCGCGACCCTCCACCTGCCTGCGCTTTGCTTGATGCACATCCGCTCCTGTGCCCCCCATCCCCTTGCGCGCGACTCCCACCCTGTGCCCGGACAATTTGCAGAGGATTGAGTCCAAGGACGGCCCCAACGCCGTCCTAGCAATCAGGGAGCTTCACATGATCCAGCAGCCAAAGTTCCACGCGCCCTGGACGCCGCTCAAGTGAGCAAGCGCTCCCTAGGGCTCCCTGCCTCTACGCAATGTCAGGCGCATCACACGATCGGCCGGCCGTAACCTGCTGCTTGTTGCTCATCGTTTCATACTTTCCTTGACGCGCCAGGTACCTGGTTGAGCCGGCCATCTTCCCGCACGTTCTGGTGACGTTCCTGCTCTACTCCACCATGCTCAGCGGTGTGTGCGGTTGCACCGCTCCAGTGTGCATGTTCAGCAAAAGCATCAACCCCTGCACGAATGGTCATGAGGGTCCAGCCCGTGCCTGCCTTGCGCATCCCATCAGGCTGCGCATCCAGCTCTGCCTGTGCAAGAATGTCTTCTGCGTTGCTGGTTGGAGCCACCCTTTGCACTGCAATGCGGCGCACAGTGCTCATGTCATGGCGCACTCGCACTGTATGCGGTGCCCCTGTCCCTGGCACCCCCCACCACGCAGGGTTGATCATCCTGCCCGACTCCCTGGCCAGCCCGCCCTACAAGCTGCCGGAGGCCCTCATTGGAGGTGAGTGGGCAATCGAATTCCGATTGTTATGTGGCCACACGAAATCGGACACCCTTTGAGGGCCCGTGCGCCAGCCGAGCGCGCGCGCGCCGTTCGAGAGGGCGTGCGCCAGGTCAAGGCGTCTAACAGGGGTTACCCATCATCTGGCAAAACGGCACGTTGCCGAGCCGCATCGCGCCCCACCCGATCGGGCCCGTCACCCCTCGCCCCCCCGCCCCTATGAAACCCCCCGCAGTCGCCAACTTGCCGCTGGGCCTGGGCTGCTTCCTCATCGGCCCCTTCAGCGGCCGCTGGGCCGACTCGGCCGCGCGCCGCTGGAGCGCCAGCCACACCGGCCGCATGCTGCCCGGCCTGCTGTCCGCCGCCGTCTTCTTCCCGCTGTCGGCGCTCGCGTACGCCTGGACGCTGCAGATGCACACGCACCTGGCGGGGCCGCTGGTGTCTGCGTTCTTCATGGGGGCCTCGATCTGCGCGGTGTTCCCGGGGGTGATGTCGTACATCTCCATCGTCAAGCAGCACGCGGCGGCGGCGGCGGGCGGCGCGGTGCAGGCCGTCACCTTCATCTGCGGCGGCCTGGTGAGGGGCGTCGTGCGCCTGTCGTGCGGGGCGCGAGGGGGGTCGGACGCTTGCGTGGACAAGCCTGTGTTTCGGCAATGGCTTCCTGCGATATGCCGACTGCCTGCCTGTGGCCACACGCCCGTTCGTCCCCTTGGCTTCCCCTGACACGCCGCCCTCTCTCTCTCTGCCTGCACTGCCACCACAGTTCATCCAGATCACCCCGATCGCCATGGGCGCCATGGGCCTCGGCCCCTGGGTTTCCCTGCTGGTGGCCATGTGCTTTGTCAGCGCGATGACGTCGTTCGGGCTGGCGATACGGTCCCTGAGGGCCGGCGACAAGCAGCAGCTGCCGGTCATGCGGGCGGGCGTTGATAGCTGCGACGGCGGCCACATGGTGGAGGCGGCCGTCGTGCCGCGCGGCAGCGGCAGCTTCAAGGGGGCGAGCGAGCCGGCGGCGGCTGGGAAGGCGGCGGACGCGTGCGCGTCCACCACTAGGTCGGTCGTCTGACTGGTTGCCCAGGCGTCCGCGGCGGTGGGCGGGCGGGGCGGCGGGAGGGGCAAGGGGTGCGGCTGTCCAGGGCCCGGGCGCGCCCCGTGGCGCCAGAGCGGCGCGGGGCGCGGCCGGGGCAGACGGGCCTGTCCATTCGTGCATGCAGCCTTACGCAATATATGATCCTTATCAACTGACCGGGGGCATGCGACAGCAGGAGATGCCACTCGCATTTCATCACGCAATCACAGCAATCCCTTGGAGAGGTGGCGAGGTGTTGAGTGCACTTTTGGCGCAACCACATCAACCAGGTTGCCCGATTGCGTTGCACAGTGTTGAGAGGGGGGAACAAGGACGGCCAAGGGTAGTGGACGCGGCTGCGAATTTGACAAGCAGCCACATGCAATGCTGTGAGCGTGGCACGCAATCAACAATTTCTAACGCGCTTGTACTGGCCAAGGCTGCCCCCCTGGTCGCAATATGACCTTATTGTTCTCAGGGCTGGGGGCTACGTTTTTGGACGGGGTGCGCAAAAATCTGCCACAGATTGATAATGACAACTTCATGCCTCTCCTGCTTGCATGTGCATGCTTTTGCACTGCAGCAGCATTGTAATGACGGCAAGGTACAGGGATCCAGAGCAGGTTGGATGCAGCATGGGGGGCAGCTAGAGCAGGCACACAAGCATCAACCAGCCCAGGGCTGGTCAAAACCGCCGGAGGCAGAACGTCACCAGGGGATTGCAGTACCACAGGTGGCTCCGAAACCCCTGCCCATATACCGTGCGAAGCGATGCTCTTACTGATCCGACTCTGCACATCATACCACGTAGTTGAGTAGTCCCCCCTGCTGCAGAGGTGTCAGAGCGATCGCCACATGATCGGCTCTCTGGGCCGCTGCGGGGGCCCAACACCTTGTGCTACTGCTACATCATCCTCTCTCCGATGCCAGCAGCGGCTAGCGGGCCTCAGGCCGATAAGAAGGGATGGCCAAGTGCCTCGCAGAACACATCAGCACAGCGAGGTGGTTGCATGTTTATATAGGAAGCAGCAGCGGGTTTGTGACCTGCAGGTATGCGTGCGGACGCTGCACACAACCCACCTCAAAACAGAATGCGCGCATCGTTGCGCCCCCAAGCTCGAGCTGTCGGCGCGCACCCAGCGCGCACATCACATGCTGCGGTTGTGTCCGCACAACGTAAGCTGAGACGTGTGCATGTCTAGATTGCTTTCGCGGGTGCATTTGCGCCGCCCATCGGCTGGCCTGCGGATCGCCGATTCGCTCCGCCGCAGGTATGCCGCGGGGCCGTGCCCGACAATGCTTGGTCGGCCTACCCCAGGCCGCCCTCCCCCGGCGGCAGCGGCTACGGCCCCACCTCCCCGGGGGGCGCTTACCAGCAGCCGCCACCTCAGCAGCCCGCATACGGCTACGCGCAGCCGGCAGCCTACGCGCCCTCCTCTTTTGGCGACTCGAGCGCCGGCGGAGGCGGCCTGTCTGAGGCCGCCCGCGCGAGCCTGCAGCGGGCGGCGGGCGCGCTGCGGCGGCTGGGGTGGCTGGCGTTCTGGGTGCAGCTGTCTTTGTCTGTCGTGTCGGGCGTCATCTTGCTCTTCTCGGTCGGCTTCACGGCGCAGGTGCGGCGCGGCCGCGCCGCCGCAGGCGGCCACAAGCCCCTGCGGCAAAGACGAGCAGGGGCTCGTGGTCGCTGACCGCCTGGCCGCGCAGTGGGGCTTTCAGCGGCTGCACTCCGACGAGCCGCTCCTATTCTGCCAGCTTGCTGGCGCCGCGCGCGCCCTCGGCGTTTACGCGCGGGCGCTTTGGCGCTAGGCGGCCTGAAGGACCCTGGACGCGGCACCCCCCGTGTCCCGCAACTGCCCCCTCTTTCCCCCACAAAAATTTCACACTTCAGAGCGGCCCCAAGGCTTCCCTGTACTTGACCCTTGTGGGCATCCTGGCCGGCTTCCTAGCTACGTTCTGGTGAGAAGGGCGACGGCAGCCCGGGGCCGCAAACGGCGCCGCAGCCACCGATATGTGCGCGCTCTGGCGGCACGCTTGGCTTACACACACCCTCATTGGGCAACATCCGCGACCCCCCTCTCCTCCTTCCTATCGCCAACCACAACACGAAAGGGCGTACGGCTACCGGCGCACCGCGGACAAGATGCAGCGGTTCCTGGACGGAGAGGACGTGCCGCGCATCAAGAAGCAGGCGGTGCGCGGCATGTGGATCGCGAGGCGGGCTGCAGTCCATGATCGTCAGTTTTGCAGCAGAACGAGGTTGTTTGCGGGCTGCCGTCAGGCCAGCCAGCCGGCCCTCCAACTGCCACCCCTCCACTCCGTCCCCCATCAAAAAAGCCACCACCGAGCCACCCCCACGTCCCCGGCGCGCCCCTCCCCCCCACACACACACACTTGCTCCACAAGCGCCGCCTCAACCGCCGCAACCACCGGCCGCCGCGACTACAAAACCCCCGCAGGTGATGGAGGAGCTGACGCGCGGCGTAGTAATCAACATCGTCGGCATGGCATCCACCCTCCTCGGCATCTCCACCCTCGTCGGCCTGCTCGTCGCCAAGACACTGTCCAACGCCAGCGTCAGCCCCTTTGCCGCGGTCGGGGCCGGCGGCTACAACCCCGTGCTCGCGCTGGACGTGTTCCTGGTGCAGGCGGCCACCAACACGCTGCTTGGGCACTTTTTGGGGCTGGTGTGCAGCCTGTGGCTGCTGAACGTGATCGGGGAGGGCCGGGGACTCAAGTTCCAGGTGGGTTTGACTGGTAATTGTCGCAAGGGAGGCCGGTGGCTTGGAGGAGCGGGATGAATGGAATGGCGGGCGTACCTGGGTGCCAGGGCGGCGCGATGGGGAACGGTCGGGTTGTGGGGGAGTGTGCATGGCGAATGCGGGGGGCCAAAGGTTGTACAGTAACGCGTGCAGCTGGTCCCTGCATTTGGAGGGCCGAACCCTGCCTTACAGCTGCCAATTCGTGTGCGTTCCGCTCCCGACGGTCACCCTACAAGCGACCCCGTTGCCCTCACCCAAATTGCGAAACAACACCAATAACGACACACTGCAGCGGCATCAGAACACCGAGGAGTCCAAAGGAGAGGGCCAAGAGGGGCCTGGCGGCACCGGCGCGCCGCCAGCGGGGGCGTACCCCTATGTCCCGGGCGGCGCGGGCGGCGGGGGCGGGCGCCGCTACTGACGGCCGCGTGGCCTCTTGCGTTCCTTGACAGCTGGGCCGCGTCTGCCTGGTGGTGGGGGTCAGACTCTGTGCGCTGTCAGATCTGGCCGCCTGCCGCATCATTTTTGTACCGATCCGTTGCATGATGTTGCAAGCTGCATAGGGCACAGCATGGCTTGTCTTTTAGTAGCACACACCAAATTGAGCACAGAGACGGTTTGCCTTGTTAGAGGTGACAATGTATCTCCTCTCCTTGTAAATTTTCGGCCTTGCACTTTCAGCTCAGCCGCCCCAGTTGGACGCAGTGCGATGTTCTCACTGGTGACCATGCGTGTTCTCACCTGCTCTTTTTTCTCAGTCAGTACTACGATGTGCACGCTTTCAGTCCCGTCTGCTGAAACTGCTATCAAGAATTCATGTGCCTGCTTCGCTCATAGTCTCAGCACAGCCTGGCGTGCAGATCACACCATCGACAACGAACGGAACGTCCAGCAATCGTATTCGGTTTCGCTGCTGTGGCAACGGAAAGCCTGAAGTGCAATCACTAGGACAGTGTCATACGCAGCGCGTAGACAGCCACGCTGGCGGACGCGGAGCAGCAGCAGCACGGCGCACAGGCAGGCGCACCGCGCGCCGTGCTGCTGCCCGTCCAGGACGATGACTATTCAGAGGTGCGGCTGGCACGCATGCCCAGCCACCTACATGCAAACCTAACCGCAGCTGCCGGCCTTGCGCATCGCCACATGCCTGCCTCGCGCGTTGCTACTGTACAGCGCTCAAAACCGCGCCTCCGCCCGGGGGAACCCTCCGCACACCCCACCATGAAGGCGGTGTTTTCCTGGGCGATAGACCACGAGCTGCGGGCGGGGGTTGCGGTGCACATTCTCCACGTCATAGTGGGCGCGGCCGACAGGGACTTGCGGGTGGGCCCGTGGGGGGGGGGGCGCTGTCAGCACTCGCGGGCTGGGCGTTGGGAGGGAGGGAGGAGCTGCGTTTCGCAGATCAAAGTGGGCGCAGCGCAGGATCAAGAGGAAGCAGGGCAGCGCGCCGAGGCCCAGGGCGGCCGTGCTGGGGCCGGGTGCTGCGCCGGCCGGCGGCCGCATCTGCTGTGGGTGCTGGGATGCGGCTGTATCCAAAGCCGAGCGCCGGCGGCCAAGCACATTTGACACCTCTTTCGCCCCTCTAGCCCCCACCTGTGCGCTTCCGCATTCCCGAGCCACAACCCCTGAACCGCCTGATCCACCAAACGCACGTTTTGTTGTCTTTGACCACAGCTTGACTACTTTGACCAGCGGGAGGAGGGCGCGGTGTTGGCGGCGCAGCAGCCCATGATCGACCGGCGCTTCGTGTCACAGCTGCGCGCGCGCGGGCTTGCCCTGCCCGTCACGATACACCTGATACAGGCGCGGCGGGCTGCGCGCTCTGGCCCGGCCATGCGCCTGACTTGCGTCTGCAGGGCCTGAGTGGACAGCCTGATTGGATGGCCGGAGGCTGGGCGGAGGCTGCGAACTGCAGCACCGGTTGCCTGCTGCCGGTTGCGGCTGCTTAGATGCGCTTGTGCAGGTTGACGACTGCAAAAGAGCGCAGCGGCAGCACCCCTCATCAACCGTCTCCTTCCCAACAAAACACAGCTCACACGTGCACGGCGGTATCCCCATCCTTGCTCCCCCCCACCACACACACACACACACACACACACACACACACACACACACAAACACACACACACACACAGGCCAGCGAGGATGCCACTACCCTGGGCCGCATCGTGTGCCGGCACGCTGAATCATCGGGCGCCGTCCTCGTCGTCATGGGGCGCCCCGACCACTCGCGCCTCCACGACCTGCTCTTCGGCTCTGCCGCTGACTACGTTTCGAAGCACTGCTCGCGGCCCGTGAGGGTGCTGCGGCCGGCGGACCTACAGGGGGCCGCCGCGGGCGCCGCCGCGCACGACGGCTTGGGGGTCTGACGGGGCAGACGGATGTCGCGCGCAGACGCACGGGGCCCGCTGCCTGCGACGGCGAATTGCTGGGTTTGGCGCATGGCTGATTAAGGGCGTGGACGCCACGCACTGGCCGATGAGGGGCGTTGATCGTGCGCACTGGTGGACGTGGCGGCTCTGTTTAATGCCCTCACAGCCTATTTCTTCCTCTCCTCAATTGCCTGCAACAGCACAAACGTTCACACACAACCTGCCACCTGTTGCTGCCGGCACCAGGCTGGCATCGCCAACGCACAGCCAGCCCACTGCACACGCTTGTTTGGGGGTTGAAAGGCAGGGAGCACGCGTGAGGCACACCGCCTAGCCCCAGCACAGCCTCCCGCTGTCACGTATATAGGGTCGTGGAGCCCTTCCCGAGCACGCTAGCGACACCTATTGGTCTGTCACGTTACATTTGGTGCTTCAGCCGGTCCTGGCCAGTCCTCTCAGAGCGGAGGACGCAGGTTCGAACCCGGGTGCGTGCAGATCGTGTTTCGCCCCGAAGCCACAGGGTGGCAGCCAGACAGGCTCACGTTACACCCGCTTAGATGGCTGCGCTCTGCCCAACTGTGCTGCGTGCCCGCCCCTGTGCCGTTGTGTCCAGCCCAACAACCGCTCCGATTTGCTGTTTACTAGTTGACCAGTGACCCAATGTGTGGTTTCAATCCACAAGGTACCTCTTATCTGGCATCTGGCATCTACTTCAATTTCGATTTCAACACTCAACTGCCCAACCATCACAAGCAAACAGTGCGATTTTCAAGCATGATCGATGTCGTGAGAACGAAGGGCGGCTGGACGCCCAGTCTGGACGGCTGCGGGCGCAAACGCGCTGTGCATGATACAGTAAACGCTTGGGCACCAGAAACATGAGGTGTTTGGGCAAAAAACCGTGCACCGCGTTGAGGGAGGGGTTTCGAGCAGTGCGTTGCAATATCAGCAAATACGTGCCTTGCACGTGCGCACGCTAGAACATGGGACGCCACCTGGCCCTTGTGGTGGCAAGTGACTAGGGTTTGCCCCCACCGTGGCTGCAAGGGATGGCCACATGAGTACCAAAGACCATGGCAAATGCCCCAAAGCGGCTTTGTCTTTTGCCGACCAGATCCCTTCGATCCTGCGAAAGCTAGCGGCACACCGCGAGCTGGAGAGAAGACGCAACCCCGCTGGACTGGCGGGAAGTGCACGGACGACAATGACATGCGGTGCGGGCCCTGCTGTGGAGGCCTTCACAGCTCGTCCGGCCCGCGGACTGCGGGGTCGGCAATGATGCTGTAGGGCCGCCAGCGGCCGTAGTCCCTGTGGACCATCGCCATCTCTATCTCCTGCACGGCCATCTCCAGGGGCGGCCTCAACTCGGCCTGCAGCCGCGCAGCTGCGCCGATGCGGGCGGCGGCTGCGGCGTACGAGGGGGTGGTCAGCACCTGGCCGCGCAGTTGGGGGTTGGCCGAGGCGGGGGGCGGGGTGAGGAGGGGGCGGTGCAAAACTCAGTCTGGGGGGG